TGATGAAGTCAGTCCATCCTCATCCACATAGGGCCCCTGGCTATCTGACAGCATCATGTGTTCAATGTGAAACTTGACTTTGCCTGTTAGGCTCTCTGTTTCCATATCAACTGCACCAGCAGAAAAGACAACCAAAGCACGGTGTGCTGTGTTTGGGTGGTGAGAATGTCTCCCCACCCCAGCTAAGCCACCAGATAAGTATAAGCCTTCTGTGGTGCCCAGCTTGCGGCTCCAAGGCTGACTTCCGCGGGAGTAAGTAGCTAGACAAAACTTGGAGGAGCCCAAGGCAAACTCACGAGGCGCACAACAGAAGCCCAAGAGATGGAGCCTACTGACTTGGTTTACCCTAAGTGGAATACCTCATTCAGGGACCTTTTCTCCTTTCCAGTCAACTGAGAAAGAGTTTCTCTTCTCTTTCTTTAATTCGCCCTTATCTCCTGGACAGCTCATGTTACCACTATAAATTACTTCTGGGACAGGAGGCTTAATTTTTAAATGGGCGTTTATTTAACTTATCTCTAATAGCAGAACAAGCACCTTTATTATTTAGAAAAAGTTTCCCTAGTGAGAGAGCTTTAAGCCAGGAAGACAGTCACTTCCCTGAAAGCTGGAACCTGTGGCTTGTCTTATCCAAACAGAGATGTCTTACCTCCCTTTCTCCCACTTATAATAAATGCCCACAGCAGTGCTGGTCCACAGAAGGGCCTTATGATCCTCAGATAAAAGGAACTAAGCCAGGGCTCAGTGTTACTGCACAGAGGGTGATTCAGCACCTGCCCTGTCGTGCCTGGTGCCCAGGCTGAATGGATTTTTGGAGTACACCTGTTGTTGAACCCCTGCCAAGTACTGATGGCCACTAACCCCCAAATCACTTTTCCCCGCTGTTGATGTTTGGAATGTCAGACAGGACTGAGCAGCAGCCGGCGTGTATTTCAAACACAGCAGATGGATTTTTATATTAGCTCCTATTTCATGTTCAGGCAGAGCGACCGCCACACTAAAACCACAGCCTCAATGCTGCCGAGTTTGCTTCTGTGAGATTAATTCTGTGAAATTAATTGGGACAAGATTGAAAAGGAAATTAAAATGCAGCTGAGTGAACAGGCTTTTCAAATACCTTTTTCCTGCTCTATTCAGACTTGAATTCTGCGGTGGTCGCAGGCACCGTGGGAAGTAATTTACGGGAGGCAGGCTCTCAGGAGCCATCGGTTACGTATGAGGAGACCTGCACAAGCGCCACAATCTGGAGCCACTGAAGAGCGGTAAACACCCCGCTGTGGCCTGAGCTGCGTCCCTGCACCGGGCGGAAGGGGAGCTCGGTCCCTGCTCCAGAAAATGCTGTTCAGAAATATCTGGGCCCGAAAGGAACACAGGAACATCCGCTGGATGCACAGATCTGCTTCGTTATTAAAATCTCCCTTTAATATATTTTAAGACTCAAATTGGAACTCTGCATTAAGTGGGCATACAACTGCATGGGGCTTAGGAATGGATGGATGTGTTAAGGGAGGTCGGCGGGGTCCTGCTGACTGTGCCATTGGCTACTGTTTCAGAGCTTGGATACATGGCCCTGGCTTCTCCTCAAAGAAGCTTGAGCAACTGATCAATTTTGTGACAAAATTTCTCAGACCAGGAAAGGCACACAGCATTTCTATGTACGCCCTTCATTGGATGGCCTTTTATTTCCAAGTAAGGACCTTCTATGCTTTCAAACATCTCTGTGAAGAGTTCTTGGCAGGACAGGTTACTTTCTTTTTTCTTCACTCAATTCACCAATAATTTATTGAACTCCTAGTATGTAGCTAACATTGACCCGCAAAGTTTACTTTATTGTTAATGGAAAAGGGGAATATAATAATTAGTAATCATTTCCTAGATGCCAGGCACGTCTTTACACAAATCCTCTAATGTAAGTATCAGAACACCCTCTGAATAGAAATTATCCCAGTTTTTACAGATGAGGGAACTGAGGATTAGCAAGATTAAGTGACTTTGTTCTGGGTCATGTAAGTAACCCATCTTTGATGATCTGCTTCCCTAAGAAAAGCATAGGTGATGGACATTTGTTTATCTATGGGGTGCATCTTTCTTACCCAGCCAACCATTCTCTCTGGATTTTTTTTTTTAAAGGACAAATTGCTCTCTTCCTGGGATCATTCCTGCCCAAAGGCCCTTGACTCTAACAAACTCTCCTGGCCTTAGGATTCTAGGATTCAAGTTTCGGTCATACTTGGGCAACTATTAAGAAACAGCAGAGAGCCCCAGGAGCCCCAGAATAAAGTTACTACATCCCCAACTCCTGACCCATACCCCCATCCTGTTCTCCACCTGCCACCCCCTCTTCAGAATATTTCTTTTATCATACAGAGAGGGGAAAGCCAGGGGCAGTGATAAGGACCAAAACCAAAAGAGCTTATAATCAGAATTTATTTAATCTGAATAAATAATTAAAACTAAAACACATTTTTGTGTGGATTTATCTAGCAGTTTTCTCATCATGTTTGTTTAGAATGGGAATGTTTGAGGTGGAAGGAAGCTTACAGCTCATCCTATTACAACTCCCTCATTTTACAGGTAAGGAAACTATCTGGGTTAGCTGAGCTGTACCCAGTTGCATCTTGTCTTGTGTTTCTCAGGGAAATAGACTTCTCCAGGTTCCTAAGCGGCAGGCTTTTCTTGCCTGACGAAAGTCCTACTGGCCAGAGAGAAAAGTAAAATGGAGATTTTGAGATACCATTTTTTTCTGGACTACCCTCAACTTGGGTCAGTTCTGCCCCTCCAGGTGTGAGAGGCAGGCTGCAGAGTGTAACTGAATCCAATAAAGGAAGCCAGCTGGGGCGAAAGCGAAATAAATTTAGAATCCATATGAGGGAAAATTCCAGAGATTAGGAGTTACTGAACATCTGTATAGACAGACAGCTTAGAATGGTAGTGGAATCTCCTTTTCTGTCTAAATTAGTTCATTTACGCTTCTTAGAGGAAAGGGAATGGATTGGGTGGCCTTTTAAGGTTCCTTCCTGTCCAAGGAGTCTTACTGAGTTAAGTAATATAATAAAGGTAAATCCAATCTGAAATGCTCCCCAAGCCAACGTTAACTGGAATGAAGCTTTATGAGGGAAACTTCAGCTAAGCTTCTAGCTTCTCATTTCTTCCTCCGACATGCAGAGATTAGCAACATGGAAAAAGGAGGCAGCTGGTGTAGCTTTTGGGGGGAATAAAGAAATGTGTTACTACCATGGTAAGGGATGACAGTGGACTCAGGACCTTCCAGAAGATGGAGAAAGAAGCCCGAGAGAACCAAGGCAGTAAGATATTTATTCTCAGTGAATTAGACTCTGATAGCTGTTAGTAATGCAGGACGGGAAAGGAGACTGATTAAAAAAACCCCAACAACAATGAAACAGGTTAGAGAGGTTCCCCATGTTCTTTGGTTTCTCTTAAAAACACAACAGCCATGGTAACCACAGTCAGCTCTCTAGTGCAGGGCAAGTTACCGCACAGTCCCTTCTAAAGGGAGGAAAGGGACCCCCCAGTGAGAAGCCATTAACAAAGGCAAAAGACATGCAAAACAAACAAAATAATCATGACCGAGAGAGAAGGCCAGCAGACAGTCTGGCTCTGTTCTCTCTCCCTCCTGCTGCAGGCACCTCAGACAATGTAAACAGTTAATTTGTTCACCTGCAGGCTCTGGGCAAACAGAAGCCTGGTCACACCTGAGTGGATAACTCGATTACCCCTGTAATGCCAGTGTGGTAATGTACACAAATTCTATTACACGGCAAACCTTGCTTTCGGGCATTTGAAATACCAATCAGGCCAATGTCCACTCCCTTCTTCGCTTGCAATTTATTCTTGGTGTATTGGAGCTGCACCAGAATGGTACTAGTGTGGTACTGTATTAGGAGTCTGGAAGAAATCACCAGAAGATTGTGATCTCACTCAGCAGGACTTGCAGGCCTCCTATTCTCTTGCAAAAGGTTGGGTCTGAGTTTGGTCCTAGTCCAAAAGGGACTTGGAACCGCTTGGGTTAGCCCTGGTCTGTTTCATAAGGAGTTTATGGTACATATCAAACCAAGACAAACCCTTGGTCAAGGTAGTGACATTCACAGAACAAAGATAAATGGCCAGTGATGGGTTAATAACACAATGGGTTTTCAATTTTCCTCTATGGAGTTTATATGCTCATCAACTAAAGAGCAAATTGTGCCTATTTCAAAAATGTGTTTGTAGATATTGACTGTCTCATAGAGGGAGAACTTTTTAACACATTTTTTCCCCCAGGGACAGAACCTATTTCCTTAGCCCACCTATACAGAATATGTGTGTAATCTTTCTTTACAAAGATGATGCTACTGATCCCTCAAACCATGAGTTCTGCATCTTCTTCATGTTGGTGATGGATCTGCAATAATCTATCCTTTTTTTGCCCAATTTTTTATATTCAACACCACCATTTGTGAGATGGTTAGGTGGGGCTAGGGGTTAACTTTGTGACTGAGGAAGAGAATAAAGTTAGCTGGACTTTATGGGTTGGATTCACTGTTTTGGCCTTGTCAGTACTTGCTCAAACCAACTGAGCTAACCAGCTCTGACTCCTCCCCCCATACATAATTATACTACAGTCTTATTTATCTATACGTGAATGAAGACGGCTGACCTAGCCAGAATATTTTCAAGAGTATGTACAAATTATGTACATGGTGATGACTTTTGAGCACCATAAGACCCTTTAAAAAAAGATTGAATTTTGATTGGCATAGTTTTAGTATTGTGTCTACTTTATTGTATTTTTAAATGTGAAAATTGGTTCCTGAAACTGAATTTTCAATTAAGAATTTCCCTGACAACTATAAACCAATGGGAATTTACTCTATGTGTAAGGGAGCTATGTGATATACAGAAGAGAAGTATATGAGGTGGAATAATTCTGGTTGTGGTGACTACATCAGCAAGAGTGAGAAGACCACCTTTTGATCCCAGCCCCACACTGCAATCCTCACCTTGCTCAGAATGCGGATGAGGTCACCCCGTTGGAAGGACAGTTCGTCTGGCTGGTCGCCATGGCAATCCCATAGGCCCTGGTAATAACTGGCATAGTCCACTGATCAAAGAGAGGAGAAATCAAAGTTAAAAGAACTCTGGCTTTTTCTGTGGAGCCCACAGTTTTGCTGCAAATAAAAACCAAGGTTCTGATATTACCCCTAGGAAACCTAAGATATAGGGTGTTTGGGAAGAGATACAGCCGAACACTCAGCATGAGCAAAGGACTGTGGGAAAGGAGGTCATTAAGTAACATTAAATATTTATATAACCTTTAGTCAGGTGCTATTCAATCATATGATAAATATATTTGTTTATTAATAAAAGAAAATCAGGCAGGTAATTTTTTATTTGGTAAAGTAAGTAAGCAGCACAAAGAGATTTCCTGTCAGACTTTCTTCATCCAGGGCATCCAAACTATCCAGTGCCTCTCTGTTATGCATTTGAAGTACTAAGTCTCCGACTTCTGCCTGTTGCAAGAGAGGCTGAGTCAGCCAGCACAAATATGCATCACAGCCTCACATGTTGGCCTCCTCTGTTACACAGGAACTTCATCCTAGGCACTTCCCACCCAGGTACTTACTACACGAGGTAATTACCAATAAATGTGGAAACGAATAGCCCAGTATTTAAGTGGAACCGAGGGGGTGTCATCCATTACAACTAAATTCTGGGTGGGCTGGCCCTTCTCCAGCATCTCATTTGTAGACCCTGAACATGTCTGCCAAGATTTATCTGTGGGCCCCCAGGGGAACAGAAACCAAAGTGATCTGCATTAAAAATGAAAGCAACCGAAGACGACAAACCAAGCTTCAGAAACAGCCGGAGAGATTTACTGGGCTTCTCAGCAAGACTAGATGGCAGTGATGCCACAGGACAGTCATCGATTCTTAACAATGAAGAATTTGTATTGATCTTCTACTACCCGGAAAGGTTAAACACTAGAGTACAAAAAGGGAGAGGATCTGGGGATTTGAATGGCAGGAGAGCTAATGCCCACTGGACCAGGGATAATGTGGCAGTGCTCCCCGTTCCTTAGGATGCTATGTATGAGAGCTGTATGCGAAGCACCCACCAAAGATGACATTCCTATTGATCAGGAGTCCTGGGCTCTAATTAGAATTCAAGTGATTTTGGGGAAACTTATTCTACCAGTTTCCACCTTTCCCTTCATTTGTCTCGACCCTCCCATGAGGAGTGATGGTGCTAGTTGCTGAGGATGGGAACACATGGAAGGCAAGCAGGCATTGAGGGGGACAGAGGTGTTGGCTATACTGGCTTTTTCCCTCTCTGTTCTTGACTTATGAGCAATTCAAATAATAAAGACACAGAGGAAGAAAATCCCTATATGTCACTGGAAAAGAACTTTTAGTAGGAATGTTAAAGTGTACAAAAACAGAGGTGGGACAGAGTTGTTTACTTAAGATTCAGCTATTGCAAACAGAAGGAAAAATGTTAACCACATAAAGACTCGGGCATGTTTTCTTTAAACAGGAAATGTTTGTATATGCAGTCGACAACAGAGGGCAGCAAACAAGACAACTACACTGGAAACATCCTGCCACAAAGTTAAGTTCAGGGGAAAAAATTCATTGGGGAAAAAATGCTAACTATTGCAAAGACAAGGTATATATTTTGGGGGGATATCAGTGCAGGAAGTAACAGAGAAATATCAGTCCCCTGAAAAGTGAAAGTAGTTTTCCCAGAGAGTATATTAATGTGTTTTCAGTTGTAATGGAGCTGACTGATCACTTCAAGATTTTGACTAAGTTTAGGAATGAAAAGTATATTGACATCAATATTCTTCATGGATCTATATATGGCAAAGAAAATCATTTGATAAAAAGTTTTTTTTAAAGAAAATGTAACTTGATATTTCCAAATAGTAAGACTGACAAAGTTACCTTGGCTTTTTCTGGCCTAGCAGATGGTCACTGTGGGGGTACTGCTCCCCATGTACCTGGAGGCGGGATAGCTCCTGAAATTATGAGTACTTTTCGGGTATATATGTAAAACATGATTTCATATTGGGTATATAAGACACCTGAGGCGAACACGTGGAAAAAGACCTATTCTAAAAGCACAACAGATCACAGGGAATGCCAGAAGCTAGAAGAAAAACAAAAACCTTTCAAGAAAAACTGAAGATGGAAGATGTCTTCAGTTCTTCATAAGATAAATGCCAAAAGAAGAAAGAGCTCAGGAATCCAGGGGAGAGTTTAACCTACCCCTAGAACTGGAATTGTCAGAACCGTAAGAAGACAGTTCCGGAAAATAAGCAAAATGAAAGGCTAAAAATAGGGAAAAGGTTGGACTTGCTTCTAAACAGAAGTATTCTGGTTTTAAGGAAATCAGGGAGGAACTCCTTCACTGGACAGTACTGCAGACTCCCGGTTTAACGTGTGTGATGGATATTTCTGTGTAAGTATGCACACTTCACTGCATTCATTCTTCAACTTTCAACACGCACGTACACAGCACCTACTAAATGCTGGGCACCATGCTAGACACGGGGAATTCCGCGTTGGCCACACACACGGTCCCTGCCCTTAGGGCTGCCATCAGCAGGGGAGGCAGCAGGAAACAGTCACACACCTATCTAGCTATTTATGATTATGATATGTCTGCAAAGAAGTTGAGGGTGCTGCATATAAAAGGGAATCTAACCTAGTCTGAGGGGTCAGGAAGGCTTCCCTGAAGCGTTAGTTGTAAAACAAAAACCTGACCTGGAGTGGGCGTTATTCAAAAACCTTGCGGAGGGGAAGAAGAAAAGCGAGGAGCCTTTTTCCCCTGAAGTTGGCCCCAGGAAGAGCTTGAAGGCTGAGAAGTCTGCGGGGCCAGTCCGGCTCCTCCCTAAACCTGCCCAGCATACCTGATGAACAGAGAAAGCATGAGGAGACTTTGATGTCTTTAGATCAGTAAGGAGTTGGGAGCCTGAGAGGGAGGATTGCCTCTGTGGGCTGAACTGAGGTTCCGTTAGGTTTACACTACTCTGGCAGCAGTCAGAGATCAGAAACGGTGCAGTATTCTGACCATTTAATTAATTCAAAACATCGTCATTCTCATTTTGAGGACATTATTCCATCTAATTATTTTTTTTTCCAGTCTGTCCATTTGGAATGAAAAACAAAAGAATAAAGCTTAATGCCAGCATTTCTCAATGTCTCTCCAAAAAAAATGTTACTCTCCACTAAATACAGCCTGGTAATTCAAAAGCAAAGCACTAATATATTCAGCATAAAACAGACAGAGGACCTAGAGCAATAATGACACCACTAATAACTAAAACAGTTATAACAATTAACAACAATTACAATGATAGAGAAGCTAATGGGTATGATCACGGCATTTAAATTGCTAGCAGAGCTGAGGACTTTTTCTAGAGAAAAAAAAGGGCTGCATCTTATTTTCTTTATCCCACGTAAGAGGAGCTATGCTCCAAGCAAGCAAAATGTCACAGAAGGAAGAGCAACAGACCAAGTCAAAAAATATATTGTTTTTCCTCTTTCCTAGGTATTTATTGCAAAGCATTTGTCATTCCACACCAAGTCTTTATAACCAGCGACAGTCATTTCTCCTGTAACTGAGGCCAAGTTGGTGCTACTATTGACAGAGTCAATATTTGAAAATGAGCCTCCATGAAGTGGAGAGCTCTAAAGTGGAAAGACCAGGACATCTTTCTGCATTTCTCCCTCCTTAGGGACACAGAGCCTGACGGTGTTCTTTCCAAGGTTCATATGTCCTTGGGCTTTTGTTTGAGGGATTCTGGGTAGCTCCAGAATTCAAGCTGTGACCACGGAAAAGAGGCTAAAGGCAGGTCAGCATGTTGTTTATATTTTCTTGATTAAACAAAAGGACCATGCCAATGAGGCCCTGGGTACAGATTATGGAAAAGAGAGACAAAAGGAGAAGACAGATAAAACCAGTTCTTGCTAGAGCATGGGGTGGTGAGAAATGGACAGACAGACAAAGCAGTGGCCCACTGGGGGGGACTTGAAATGCTCTCTAGGCCAGGCCAGAAAAGGCCACCATGTTCAGTCCATTAAAGGAGACTCAGCCTGATTAACCTTATTAACTATTTCAGAAGGAAAGGCATAAAAAATTGGCCAAGCTCCACTGATTTCGACACCAGAACACGAAGAGTGACTGAAAATACAATTTGCTTGTTTTCACAGCCCTTAATTTAATCTTTGAGTTTTGAAATTACTATGGTCCTTAATGTTATAAATATGATCTTGCAGTGGGGAACACTTACAGATCCAAATTTTCATCTCCTGTGCTCTTTTTATCGAGCCCAAATCATAGCTGGCTGACGATCATCTCATGTTTGGTCTTGGGAAACAGGTTTCAAAAAGTAAGAGCTGCAAACACCTCTCTGACTTCTCTCTGTTTCTTTTATGTAATAGTTCACCCCACTGGCGACCACTAAAGTGGAAAAAGTATTTGAGGGCTGGAATGCTCACCAGCAACCATTTCTCTGCCCTGCGGAAATGACTGAACACGGCTCCCCCTTGGCTGAGTTTGCCCACAATTTCAGAGCGAAAACGACCTGTTTCAACATCTTCTTTGGTCAGAGACTTGAGTGTATCAGCATGAATTGGGCCTCCAGCTCTGCTTTTTATTTGACCTGGCATACCCCAGAAAATGGCCAGTAGTTTTCATAGCTACAAGCACAGAATGAGTTTTATTTTTGGTTACCTGGACATGCCTTCTCCTGGTAGGGAAGGGAAATAAGCTCTTATCACCAAAGACACTTAGTGTTAGACCATTAGGCTAATGGGTTGGAATTTAGTGAAAATCTGAGGTGTTGAAGAGTCACTCATTAGAATAACCCTGTTACTAACAGTCAAGCTGTAAACTGAGCTCTTCATAGATTGAGCAATCAATACTACAAGGCTGTGATAGATTTTCTAGGTAACAGTATAAAAATAAAAGAAATTACATCTTACAGGGTCATTAACACCCAATCAGGATAAACTGAATTCCTCCCCCCCCCCCGCCTTCTGATAAGATCTTAGTTGGGCTTTAAAAGTGTTAGCAGTTCCATCAGGGAAAAGCAGAGCATTCCTCGAACAGGATCCCTGGAATAGTGAAGAAAAGTATGTGGATTTTAAAGGTACCCTGCTAGCCACAGCACCTTTTAGGAGAAAATAGTTTTTCCCCTTCAAAGGGCACATGACACCTGAAAATAACTAAGTGAACCAAACTTGTGCAGCTTGCCTATTACAGAAGAACCCCCACCGTCCTGGGGCTCCCTGCCTTTTATATGCCTACCCTTCCCTCGGATCTGTATATCTTATTGTTATAAAGCTAAGTGATGACATTTGGATGTTACATATTTGTCGCTGTTTCTATAGCTCCTTTGTAGGAAAGGCACTATATAAATTCAATAAATAAATAAGTAAACACAAATAATAAAATTTCCTGCCTCAGATCCTGCAGAGAGCATGAAAAGTCTTCTGTTTTTTAATCGCCAAGTAAGTCACCAATCATTTTAACTGGTGGGAAGTATAAACCATAGAAACATATGCAGAGCTCACTACACTTTAACAACATCTATTTTGGAGGCAGGAAGCATGAGGAATAAAGTTTTTTTTTAAATCTATTTGAATATCTTATAGTAACTTATGGTTAAAAAGAATATGAAAACAAATATATGTATGTTCCTATATGACTGAAGCATTATGCTGTACACCAGAAACTGACGCAACATTGTAAACTGACTATAGTTCAATAAAAATATATTAAAAAAAAACCTACTTGAATTATAGCTGCTGGAACAACTAAGAAATAAATCTTCCCTCATCCTTCAGACTGAACCTTAGAAAGAAGAGTAGAAGGAAGAAATGAGATGAGGGAGGAGTCCCAAATTGAATTTTAGGCTTTTGCCAGAGCACTGCTGCTTCTTGAATGGACTTTAATATAAAGTTGGCCATGGGAAGCTTCTAGTTATTCCACCAAGCTGTCCACATGAAGTGCTTCTTTCCTGTACCAATGAGGGAAATTGGTTGAGAAAAGACACATATGGGACATGAGTTGGTCAGGAAACAGATTTTTTGGTTGGAATTCTGTACAGCAAGTGAAACAGCAAGGGTAAGTTTCAGAATGGACTTGAGGAGAGGTGTTTGTCATAAGGTCCTTACTTGAAGCTACACTAACATTCCTGTGTCATACTCGCCTAGGTTCTTTCTCTCCAGCTTTGACACGTGACTTCTGATGCTGCCTCTTTGCTGCCTTTTCTCTCCTCGAGAGAAGGCAGATGTTTAAGTCGGGTCTGTAATTAAACCTGTTACATATTCACTCCCGTGGAGAAAGCACCAAGGAAAGGCTTTACTGAATGGATAAGGAAGAGAAGAAAAGGCACGAGGAGAGGAAGAGAGAGGAGAGTGGGAAGGAGGCGGGGTGCGTAGAGAGAGGGGGAGTAGGAAGGAAGGGGAAAAGAACCCCTAGGCTCAAGACTTTCACAGACTCTCTAAGAAGAAGTCAGCCAGTATCTAAATCAGCCGCAGCTCAGGCTCTGTCGACGGAATAAATGTCCTTGAGGTGGCCTTTGCAACACGTATTCCTTTACAGACAATGACAGACTAGGTCCTTGGTCCATATAAGGAGGCTTTAGAGGGGCATCTGACCTTAGGAAGGATGGGCTCACTAACAGACTGAAGCATGGGTAACAGTATGGGATGAGTAAGATGTAATTTTGTATTCAACAAACCTGTTACATATTCATTTCCAAATGTGCCTGGAATCAAACCAGGCCATCAGAAGTCAGCATCACCAAGCAATTCTATCCTTCACCCCACATTCACTTTTCAGATCTGACACATTTCCATTCCCCTCTGAACTTGTAATCTCCAGGCCTCTCAGACAGGAGACATTTCCATTCTTTCCATTCTCAATCCTCTGATCTCTTAGAGATGAGGCAATTCTATTTTCACTATACTGATTTGAGAAATACTGATAGGAAAAAATAAATATCTGGTTTGGCTTCCCACTCTCTCTAGGATAAGTCTTAGCCATCTGGGAACATTACTTAAAGTGAATGGGTGGCTGCTTTTAAAGTTAAGATATTTCCCTCTCTAGTTATCTTTTCTGGGGCAGTTGAGGTCAACACACCAGCACCCTCTTGACTGGGGAGTCCGGTAATGTTTGTAGTCTGAGAAAGGTGCCTCCTCCAGTGGGAAGATAGCCCTCATACCTCCTTTCTGTAGGGTGTCACTGTCATCCTCTTCTAGGTCATGCTCTTCATCTGCGGGGATGAACAAGATCAGGTTAGTAATTAGTGCTCAACAGTCTGTTATTTGTACCGACGGGTCTCCTTTCCCTGAGTTCATCACACTCTCTTCTTTAAGGCAATAATGACCATGTTCTCTCTCTCTCTCTTTTTAAATCATCTCTCACCTTCAAACTGGCCTTCTCTTCTTTCCTCCCCCATTCATTCATTCATTCACAAACATTTTTAAGTGTTTACTGTGTGCAAGACGCCGCCCTGGGAACTGGAGGTGCAGCAGTGGACAAGACGGCCGGGTCCCTGCCTTTGAGGAACTTCCAGTCCACTGGATCATTTAGACGCCTATTACTAAAATCCTAATCCTCTTCCTCAAACCCTATATTCCTCTTCCCCTTCTAGAATTCTCTTCAAAGTGTATTATCTCCCCATAAGCATCCAGAGTGTGTGTGTGTGTGTGTGTGAGTGTGTGAAGATAGGCACGTGTTTAAGCCCTCTGTGATTAATTAGTCCTTAATGTATCAAGCTTTGTTCAGCTGTAGCAGAAGCTGGTCACATACGTAATTTTATGTTCTTAGTACTTGGGGCTTGTAGTTATCTTTTACTGTTGTTATTTTAGCCTGCCTTGTTCATGAGAGTGTAAGCTCCTGAGGGCAGTTGGAATGGTCTTTTAATTAATTGCTGCAGGTGGATGGATTCTAAGTCAATGCTATTGTCTAACTCCATCCAAGTGTTTATATGATCAAAGTCACAACATGATTGGCCTAATTTTCTTACCACCATCAAATTGTTTCATCTCAGACTTCATACTATCTGAAAACATGGGAACTGGGCCTTTATCAAGAAAGCATGAGCGCCAGAATCATATTAAGCTATTTTACACGTGGGGTAAAATGTGCAAAAAGACACCTGCTGTTCTCCTTTTCATCACTACCACCTACTGGACAGAGCACAGCTACACACACACACACACACACACACACAAAACTAATGGGGCACAGTGATCAACATTTTGAAGGCTGGATACTGTTTCTTCTGGCTACACGTACTTTCCTTTCTCTCTGTGGGTCTTAGGGCACTTACGTGTCTCGCTTCCCCATAGTTAGGCCACTAAATGGAACTTTTGAGGGGATGGCCTGTGACAGCCCCCTCTTTTTTTTAAAATATAAGGTTTACAGGGCAATATGAGTTCTGGTATGTCACACGAGGGGAAGTAAACTCTAAGTTCGTAAGTAAGAATAAACAGCATAAAAATATGTTTAAACACTATAGAACATTCAAGAAGTAATCGATTTTACATACAAAATAATACGGTTCCCCTGTAAAAATTAAAATTAATCTTTTATTGGGATTGATACTCTGAGAAATGTCACCAAGATTACCAAGATTAAAAAATATTTTAGTATTTACCAAGATTAAATGTTACCAGGATTAAAAAACATATCATATAAATAAATAAATAAAAATATATAAAATATAGCTGCCCTACAAGATTCTGTGGGAAAAGGACTCAACCCCTCTTATCTCCGTGTATGGCCCAGCAGCATATATCTCCTACTCACCACTTGTAGTGCTGCCCCAACCTCACCATGAGGAATAAAGACGTGAGATAATGGAGGAGTGAAATCAAGTATCGGAAATAGATCACGTGGAACTAAATCACGTTAAACATCATTCTTTGCACATTGTCTTCTTATTACTTGCCCACTTCCTTCCTTCCTCTGCTATGATGCTTTTCCTTTTGGATGTGGGACCAATTTCACAGGATTGGAAACATTAAAAGAAGAGTTGGTATGCCCTCAATTTTAGAGATACCCAATAATCTGGACACAGCACAGCTCTTTTGCTGATATCAAACAACTTAATCACAGAGACCAATAATTTGCTGTGCTTAGGCACTTTTGCAGAGAGGGTTTATTCTACCTCTGCTGTCTGTGCACAGATGTCTCTTCCTCCCAATTCTAATCAATGTAAATTGGGTCAGATCTCCGCCGTGAATTACAAATTGGATACGAAGTTGGAGGGTCACCGTGCCTGCTACTCCACCTCCTTCCCACCACCATTAGATGGGAAGCTACACCAAAGATCTTTTCTAAATAAATCAGACTTTATTGTAAAACTTGGCCGCTGACGAGACATAACCTCATTAGCATTGATTTTAAAATAAATTATTGAAAGTGGCTTGCCTGCTCTTTGCATTTGTAAAATAGGAGAATGTAAACGTATTTGCAATGGTAAAAATGAAAACTAAAACTTGATTCCTTTATCCTTTCAGGCACCAGCACTTAATCCAGTCATGATACAAAAATGGAAAAAATAAAGATCTGTTTTATGCAGCTCTAGAAACAATGATTTCCCTTATGCCTCTGGAGTCACCTAGAAAGAAACAGAATGTTGGCCCTAGATCTTATATATCATTCACCACCAGTACTAGATGCTACGGTGATGGATGTGAACCGGGAAGCTCCAGTCTCTATATCTGTTCTGTCTAGCGCTGTCCTTTCCAGGGTGCTGAAAGTGAGCTCAAGTCAAGAAGCCCAGCTATTGATGTGAGAGGCTGGGTGTGTGCCTCTGTGGCCTTTGAAAGAGTGAGTATGGGGCCCCAACACATAGTGAAGGAAAGTGCCCTCCACAGATGGCTGTGAAAGGCACACATCTCAGCACCTTCCCAGCTTCCGAGGGCACAATGCACACAGGGGTGCTGAGTTCACCTTGGATCCTTCAGTGAAATCAAATTGGTATCTCTCAAACTCCAAAGCCAAGAAAACTGATTATATGGCAACAGAAAAAAAAGTCTTTTTGCTCACAAAGGGAGCTGTTTACAGCCAAATATGTCATTTTTTTCATCTATAAGGTGAGGCTTTAATTTTAAAAAGTTTATTTTTAAATTAAAAAAAATTAGGCTAAAGAGCTTGTTGAACTTCTTTGTAAGAATGTTATTAGGCATTTTAGTATTTATATCTACTGAAATATGTGTTCATTTAAGAAAGAATTAAAATTTATGTGCTAGCTCAACTTCAAACAGTAATAGATTATAATGGTCTTTGCTCCTAACAGGGCACATGGGAACCCAATCCTACATAGACTTTAAACAAATTAACCTCTGAAGATTACTGTCCACTTATTACATTAAATGCTCTACTTGATTCCCAAATATCTATCTCAATTGGGAAAACAGTTGAGGAAGATTCTGTTAACTATGCGAACATGTAAGAGAACCATGGGGTATCACAAATGAGCATCAGTATCCAGAGAGTTGATTTTCAATCAACACTTTTGGCACAATGTCAGGAACACTAATGAGAGGCTGAAAGGAACAGGACACTGACTCCACCTCAGAAGCACAGAGAGGAGCCAGCTTCTCATGACATCTGGCTCCTTTTGGAAGTGCTGCTCTGACGTCAACTAAACTGAGAATAAAATTCAAAAATGACTAGATAAGAAAGAGGGAAATCACTTCTCCCTAATAAAGCAAAGTGACAGAAGCTTCAGAAATGCCAAATGTATCAAAGTGCAGCCAGATGTCAAGGTGCTCTGGTGACAGATGCAGCAGAAATACAGATAGACTGGAAATGCAAAGGGAACATGCAAAATACGGAAATAGAAACCACTCCCCGGAAAGCACAGGTATGATATAAATCCAGGGAGGCTACAGCACCTCTTCAGACAACACGGCAAATGTGCATGAGGCTAATAGCACATTTAATTCTCTGTTGTACAGTTGGTAATCGCAACTGTTACCTAAAAGTACTTGCATACTATCTCCGTGGCATGGGCTTGATGTACAAGGTATTAGACTCAGTTTGTGCTAATTGCAACACTTGGAATGCACTGAATTAAATTTCACAAATAATAATCGAGCACCTACTAATTGGTGAGAAAGACCTGAATACAAATCACTGCAGTTAAAGGCTGAAAAAGAGCTCAATTCCAGCTGAGTCTCCTGGAGGCTGTCACTGAGGAGACATAGTTGAGCAGACCATGTAGGGTTTCATAGGCTGAGGGTGAATATTCTAGGTAGAAGAAATTGCATGATGCCTGTTTCGGTGCTGGCCCAAAGAGAGAAAGGCCGGGAAGCTCGGAGGGGGCCTGATGGTGGCCTTGACTCTTCTTTGGTGCTCCCCTCATGGAGCATTGCTTTGCTGTGGAACTGGAAATTGTTTCATCATAAACTTTGTGTTTCTGGTGTCTGCTTTCTTTCCTTTGACCTCCTACTCTCACCTTTCCCATTTCCTGTGGGTCTGGACAATTGTACAGGGGGAAGGATAATTCCACAGAATGCTTGTTTTCATTTGATTCAAATTAAAAAAAGAACAGTTAAATGCTTTATTATAAAGCAATCTGGTTTCTGGGTCCACAACAGCCCTCCAGGCAGCACGGGCAGCACTGGAATGTACACAGAAGTTCCCGGGGAGGGCTCTTTGTCCCTCCTTCCGTTTGCTCCCCTGAAATCTCTCTAGAGAACACAACCAGATTCTGTTGCCACCCAAGGCCCCAGTTACAGCTCTTCAGTGGTCTCAGGTGCCTTGTTGGATTCCAGGCTTGAGGCCCCAGACAAAGAGAAACCTGACCAAAGCTGTCCTTCTATGGAATCTCGACATGAAACTGGGCTTGTGTTAAGCTGTAAAATAATTTTGCGGCAGGGTGAGAGAGGGCTCAGAAAAGCCTACCATTTTCCACATATTGCTTTAGCATTTCTTTGTTGGTAGTCCCCTACAGTTTAATCTACTGCAAATGAGATCTTAAAAATCAAGGGCCTCCATATTCTCATCACGGATGTTCAGAAACCCCACTGGTTACCAATCTTGAAACCATATCATCCAGGACTAACATTGTGGTCTTGGCTGAAAACCTCGAGTGCTCTGGTTTTCCCTCAAGGGAAGGAGAGTGCTAGCCACGTAGCGAATGCTAATTATCCCATGATTAATGTGAGGCAGTGCATTTAATTTGATGACCCATACATTATTTTGATTAGGAAAAAACATTTTTGTATTGACTTGATATGTGTTACAGGCACTTTTCTTTCAACTAGGAAGCCTGTCGAAATGATATTCTGGAAGGGAGATCTCACTTACACGACCCTCCCCGCAGAGACAATGAGGCTTATGTAGGCTCCATCCCAAAGAGAAGGGATGAGCAGAACTGGCAAGGCTGAATATTGTCCACAAAGCACATTTACCTGTTATCTTGAGGCACATGTTAGAGGCCCAAGTCATCTGACTATGGATGGGTATGCAACGTAAGTGCAATCCAACCTTACTGTCAGCTGTCCCTCCACCCAGCACCTGAGCAGAAGGCATGATCCACATTCCATCTGCTTAGGATTTTCAGTTTCATCTGCCTCACACACATTGTTGAAAATGTCCAACCGGACTGTCTCAGGTCGGGTTGGTGGAGGTGAGGAATGAGCCATTTCCCAATTCTTCAAGGAGGTAATATGTCCTATTTAAATACCAGCAAATGAATAATAGCCAGTAAATAAATACTGAATGCTCACTGTATGCCAGGGCTAAGAGCTTTACACACATCAGTTCCAGGCTTCTCACAGCATCCCTTTACGATAGTTACTATTGTTATCCCCATTTTATGGGTGGGGAAATCACACAGACACAGGGCAGATAACTTGCCCCAGGAGCAGATGGTGGAGCAAGTCCATCCTGAGACAGCCATGCTGGGTCTCACAGGCCACTGCTCGGTGGGTGGTCTTGTGAGATGGCAGCAGAGGGGAGACAGTGTCAGGCTCCCTCACATTCCCTCTCAGTTCCTCCAGGACCAGTAGTGTGGCACAGGCAAAACTAACAGCAATTTCAGATGCAACAAGCTAAGTGGCATGGACAGGAAGCTGGCTGATGGAGACACGTGGTGAAATAGTCATATCATAATTAAATGCCGATATATTCCACCTTCAGTGCTGTCTCTAAAAACTGTGGTGGATAGAAGGTTTTGGAAAGAACCTATTGGCTGGGTACAGCACTGTCCTCTGGAAACTTATACATAAGTTGGATGCCATTGTCCTAACCTGCAGAAAGAGACCCTGGTTTTCCTACCATGTGGCCTTCCCCACTTCCAAGGGACAGTTGTGAGTATAGGGGAAGTGGTTTTACTCAAGAAAGCAGACCAGTCTCCACATCCTTGGAGTCCAAACTGCTGTGAACTTTGGTGTGAATTGGCCTGATACCCTGGGCAGTACCGCAATGGCTGAGGGTGTGATTTTAAGAGTCTGGGGAAGGATGGCTGGGAAGAAGCCAGTCATCTATTCACTGACCCACCTGGGGTAAGGTGAGGGTCTCAGACTCATCTGATTTCCTTCCCTTTACTCTCCTTTGCTCTGGGTGTCTGAGCATCAGCCCCCTCTCCTGCCTGCTCTTTTGAGAGCTTCCAGAAGGCTGAGTGGTTCTGTAAGGTTTTCCCAGCTGTGACCCAAGTGGAGTGTCACCCAGATATTTCCCCCAGCCTGGCCAGGAATGAGTGGAATGTGAGCTCCAGAGGAAGACTCTGGTCAAGTTGGGGAGTACATCTCCTTTTAGGGAGGGCTGTGAATCAGATCCATTTCTGCACCCTGCTGTTGCAATGGAGCAGACTGTGAAAGGGAAGATTCTCAGAGGAGCTGTGTTTTAATGTAGCAATTTGATTCAATTTTCCACTCTATAAAATTACCCATCACTGCTCGTTGCTTTCTAACAGACACCTTCACTCTTAATTTAACAATCCTATCGAATTCTGCCAGGGAAATTGGAAAAATTTATCACCTGTGAAATTTTATTTTCCTTTGGTTGTATCTGTTTTTGTAAAACTTCATTAACGACGATGACTTGCTGAGGAAATTATCATTTTTTTTTTAACTTCAGACACAAGAAATGGCTCGACCTCAACCAAGATATCATTTGCATGATAAAACACAACAAAAAGGCTGGGGAACTTGGGACCGGCAGAGGCTGGAAGTGCTGGGAGAAGAAGCAGGCTCTCCTTGTGGTGGGCGAGGTCTCAGCAAGACCTGTAGCCACAGCCCTGCTCTTCGACTCTGGAAGCAATGACGTGGCTTCTCCCCCAAGGGAGAGATGAAAGTGGCTTTGACAGGGTTGGACCCTCCTCTTAGGAAGCTTTGAAATGCAAGTTGCTTACTGAAAATGCTTTTTAGCAACCAGCCCTGTCTTCAGGGGCCTCAGTGTTAGGCTCACCTTAGTTCCTAGGGTTCATCTGGGATTGAGGCTTAAATTGCTATAAATTTAGGCTTAATTTGAATTTCTCAGCAGAGCCCTGAACTCCTGGCAAATTTCCACGGGAGCGATCTTTCTGAATGGACTTGAAGATTCAGTGTTCCTGTGGTCTAACTACCTCACAATTAAAAGGCTCCGGCTTCGTTTTTCCACAGTGTGACCCCCACTGTGCTCTGCACCGTTCAACAGCTGCTGTTATCCACACGAGAAGTGGCTGTGCCGAAGCAGTGATGATTACACATTTTTTTGAGATCCAGTTATCATGCCTTTGGAAAAAAGAAATATGTACAGTGGACCTGCTGTAACAGTGGGCAGAGACCACATGTTAGGCTTATTAGTAAGAGATGCGATTTGATTCGTGGTGTATCTGAAGCAGGCAACAGTGTGCTGTGCTCTGCCAGGGCTTTACTGTGTCACTGAAAAGGGTTGTCCAGCATTCATCTATATTTCTTCAGTCTTTTCATATCCTTCATCATTTTGAGGCAACATTCCATTATTCCCACAATTACATAGAAAAGAAGTTCAAACTAGAGAGTTTTGATGACTCATCCCCAAACTTGCAGTAAACCAATGAAAACCAGCATAAGTACTGACTCTTTAACCTGTTGACATTTGCAATAAATTACTTCACATGCAGAAATGAGAGATGCTCCCTGATCAACCTATCTTGTCCCCAGAGCAGGAGAGGCAGCGTCTGTGCTGGGAATCACAGAAGCTCCACAGAAACTTCCCTACAGTCTCTCCTTTGGAGGTTTGGCTTTCTCTGGAGTTGTCAAAATTATATACTTCTACCAGGTCAAGAGTTTCTAAACTACAGGAAGATGATTAGAAGATGAAATTTCTCACCTGGTAAGACTTCGTAAATATCGTCATCTTCTTTCTCCTCCTTGGGCTCTTTGAGCCCCACACTCCCAGGCAGAATAATGGGTCTGCTTTGGGAACCAGAATTTGGGGCGTCAAAACCATCAATATCATCATACATCTCTTCCTCTTCTTCTTCCTCCTCCTCCTCTTCATATGGAATGGTTAAGGAGCTCAGATCTGCCAGGGCAGAGATGAGAATGAATGAAGATAGGGAGAAAAAAGGAATACAGCAGGGAAGGAAAGAGGGAGAAGGGGGAGGAGGGATGAAAATAAAACATGTCAAAAGAAAATGAAACACTAGGTTAAGTGCTGTTATTTCTAATGCGGGCCATGGTGGCAGGAAATCTACAGAAAAGGCCAGACTAGCACTGCGTCAGGTTTAAACCATCAACATAAATCCTTCCTCGCAATAAAACTTGATCAGGACGAAGCAGCCCTGAAAAGTATGGGTATGTGAATGAGCACACGAGGCGAAGGGAAGAAAATAGGCCAGAAGAGGAAATGCCAGCGTGCCTCGCGCTGCTCGTCAAGTGGAAAACTGGAAGGGTCAGTGATGGCCTGTGGTTCTCCAGGGCGCACAGAGCCTGGGAACTATGGTGGCTTCCGCAGGGGATCTGAGCTGTCACAAGCTCCTCTCCCCTGCGAGCTCATGCAGAATTATCACAGGTTTGTTTGTAAAGAGAAAAGCGGGCAAAGGTGGAAGAGGAAGAGAAAGTGGGATGTGGAAAATATAACAGTAATACAAGACCAAATGGGATGGCTGAGCGATGTGTTTACCATGTCCTTTTGCAGCTGTACGGTCTGGCTGACCTTAAAGTGGGTCACTGCATAGAGGATGTTGAGCCATTACAGCACTGGGGAGCACAGGGCAGGAGAGGGAGATTGGTTTTTTATTTTAATGGGGAATTGGGAAGGTTCATTCTCTGACGTGTAGTACAGAGTGCTCTCTGAAACTCTGCTGAGGGGCCTCTGCAGGATGGGCGAGAGCAGTCAGGGTGCTCTGGGGAAGGAAAGGATGGAGAGACATCCGACGTTCATTTCCAAACACAATAAAACTGTTTGGCTTGATTAGGCTTTTAATAAAGATTTCACAACTATTTTCATCTCAATTCTGGTGCCACCTCATCTGAGGAAGGGATCAAAGACACATTTGTGGCTTAAACCATATGTTATTATTTTGTTTGTTTTAAAATAAAATGGGATGAATAATTTCTTCAATGTGGGATTCGGAAAGTACCACAGGGTACAGCTCAATAAAGCTGCTTTGAGTTTTATTGAGGTTACACACTTAGGGGTATATTACACGCATAAATCCAAGGCACCTAGATGAGAGTGTACCCTGTGGTCTCGCCATCAATGTTCATGTTTGCCTAGTTCTAGTCTATTATACGTGACGCTCTTGGTAGATGCAATCGTTTGTTCTTGTGATAGCAAAGGCATAAACTGAGCAAAATTGGCAATTGTAATTAAAGCTCTGGTGCTTCCTTCTTTTTATCCACAATAAAAACTTATAGCAGAATAAAAAAACGGAGATGAAAAGGCTTGATGTTTTTAGGCTGACGCACTTCTCCCTAGGTCTTGGGCCGTGGATGAAGCTGGTGTTTCTGCCTTTCTTCAGAGGCAGGGTCCTGCCATGATGTATCATGAGGGTTATCTGATGCCAAGCGGCAGACTCAAGGTTGGCTGCTTCTACCTGCCAGGTCGCTCCCAGACAAGGCTTCCTGGGCCACTGTCACTGCTGTGTCTACAGGCTGGCCAGCAGAGGGTACTCTAAGAGCAATCATTTAACATCTTCAGGCAAGATTCTTCCCATTCAAAGCAAGGAACATTTTATTGTGGTTTGGGAAATGGCAACTTGTTTTTAATGTCTGATGTTCTTGAAGGCCACCTAGATGTGTTTAGATTTCCATTTCCCACTAAGACTAAAACTAGGAGGTTTTGGACTTACACCACATCTAGATGACTTAGGTATCACGAATTTCTTTCCCAGAATACAATGGGTTAGGGGACATTGAATTGAGCTGAACTGGTTTTCAGAATCTCCTTTTCTGGTGATTACAAATATTACAGACTTGCCTGTAGGTAGGTGGATGAGCAAGAATGATATTAGAGGTCATCTCCAGGCTGATGGCTTCTTTTCCTTCTGATTCATACATGGTACTATTTGTTGTCCACACATGAGGGACATGGTAGGCAGAATGGACAGATAAATATATACTGAAGCCTATGGATTATATTTATGCAATATAACTTCAACCACAAATGCTCTCAAATACTGTTTCTGTAATAATGATACTTACCCTTTAATAAGAAACTTATTTGATCCACCCAGTCTCTGGCTTCAGCTGGATTAGAGGCTGTAAACTAGAGAAAAATTGGTGAATTAACTTATCACTTTCACTAAAATTCCCATGAATCCTACAGGGAGGTTCAAGGGGAGGAACTTTGTGAGTTGAGTTGCAGTCAAGTTGGAAGCTCTGAATATGAATTTTTTTGCCTGCTTAACACATAGAAAAAAGATTAAAATCTCACTCAAATTGATTTTTTTCCTTCAGCAATTTTGCATACCCAATGTTGACAGCTGGATTTGAGTCCAGAATTCATGTTCATCTGCATTCATTCATCTGATTACCCACTCATTCATTAGGCATTTATTGAGAACAGTTTACAGGGAAAAAAAGGCAAACCCGAATTCCTGACTTCAAAGAATAATGCAAATGCATCAGTACTGGAGACGACATACTCTCTTGATATGGGGACACTACAAAGTAGGTACATTGATAAAAGCTGGATACTGAGAGAAGACAGAGAGTACTTATTGTTGCCTATGGGAAGCCAGGGAGGCTTGTTAAAGTAATACTGTTTTGGTTGGATTTTAAAAGAGTTGGTGGAAACTGACTTGTGGAGGGAGCTGGACATGTCAGGTAGTGAGAACCAGCTGCCAAAGATTAGAAATGAGACCACCATGCACAGTGAAGGTAGGCAGACCAGCTCAACTAGGTAACAGTAACGGATGAAGCTGGAGAATCGAGATCGGAGAAGAATTGATGAAAGGGTTCTGAGTACTAGGAATTCAGATGTAAAATGTAGGCAACAGGAAGCCACTGTAAATCCAGCAAAAGGAGTGGGAGATTCTTTCATTAGTTGTGAGTAGGAGAGAATAAAATAGGGAGAAATTAGAGAGAGAAGACCAGCTAGAAGACTTAACTAGTCTTCTGGGTGAAGCGATAGGGACTTAACTATTGTGATGGCTGTAGGAATAAATCAGAAGGGAAAGATTCAAAGGATATTGTAGAGGAATAATCCACAGACCATGGTGATGACTTGGATTCAGCGGGCAAAGAAAAGAAGAAGTAAACAAACTCTACATTCTGATTCACAAAACAGGCCAGTCAAGCATCAAGCTTTAGTAATTTTTTCTTTTAAATGAATCAATTTGAAATGATTGTTCCTGAAAAACCTTTTTATTATCTGGCTATGATGGTAAGATAAAGATATGTGCTGTATAGGAAACCTAGATTCCTGCTTAAAACTTATTAATGGACATGGTCATTCTTGATTTCTTAAAAATATATTTCTATAAAAATGTCTAGGGAAACTGACTTAGACTTAGATAAATTTTACTTGGATGAGGCACAATCAGAACTGATAGAAATAACTTAGATACACACCCAGTGCATACATCTGTATTATATGTATCTATAAAAGACTCTACAAGAAAGTTTAGTTTAAATTAAAAAAACCTTTTTTTGGAGTTGCATAATTAAGACCTAGGGCATTTACTGAAATAAGTGTTAGGATACTGCAGAATCATAAATGGACGAGTGCTGAGAAAAATTTGAAGAGGCAAAGGGTTATTCAAGTAGTTACTATAAACCTTAGCATGGCTTTTCTCTTTGTCATAAGTTAATCAAAGGTTTTCTAAATTGCTTTAGTAAAACTGTGATAAAAATACCCAAAGAGCAGGAGACAATAGGCGAATATACACATGTAAAAGTATATTTTTGGTGAAAAGCACTATATTCCCATAGTCAGATATTTGTTTTGGTGCCTTAATTAATTTTATAATAGGTAATAAATGCATTGCCTATTATATTACTTTTTATAGTATATCAAAATATATAAAAATGAACACAGTGAAGAATGTCTTTCTCACCCGCACTCAGGTCCTCTTGTTCCTCACTTATCACTCTTTCTACTCAGTAATCATTCCTGCCAGTATCTTAGAAATCCTCCAGAGATGTGTGGTGCATCTACACACAGGAAGATTATTTTGGAGAGCAAGATGAATATGGGAAAGTAAATTATTTTTCACTCTACAGTCAGATCTCTCTTTTTCTGGGTTTCATGAAAGGAAGTGAAGATAATCAGTTGAAAAGTAAAGAGAGTAGGAGTTAAAGTCATGAAATTAGACTATGAATAAAGAATTGCAATAGATAAGACTCTCACCTACGGGGTGAGACTGAGGTGGTGGGGGATGAAGAGACGGACGCCAAGCAAAGACAGTATCTGAGACGTAGGTGCAACAGATGGGTGGGCATGGCATGCCAAGGAGAAAGCTCTTGGTAAGAAATGAGAGGTAATGGAGAAAGGATGGAACCCAGCATAGCAACCACGGTTCACGTGCAACATGGAGTGAAACTGCAACACTAATGAGGATCTCCATCTCCTCGGCTCATCCTACCTCATAGCTGCGCCTATCCTGGGAGGTCAGCTCAAAGCAGGATTCTTTCTTGGAATCTTTTCGCAGGTAGGGGGCCATCCGTACACTGTAGCCCTTAATGAGAAAGGTCCCTTTGGGCTGCTTGCCTGCAAGACAGGAAAGCTCTCAGTATCTCTAGAGAGATGCAACTGCCAAGGGAGGGCATCTTCTCTCGTATGTAAAATCAAAGCACAGAAACAGCTGTTACATCCCCGAGGAACCACAATAGTCAAGGAAAGGTTATTAAGGGAGCTTAAGAAGAGGCTACTGCGACAGTGAGGCAGATATCACTGCCAAGCTAGGGAAATGCAACATGAAAGGTTATTTTGCCAAAAGAGTACAACAGAGACAGAGAATTTATTAGAATGTTAAGAGATCTATAATAACAGAAAGAAGGAATTATTACAGCAGGGAGAGTGTGGCTGTAAACGGGAGGCTCTGGAAGGTGATTATAGAGCTGAAACATTATTATCAGGGCCAGCAGAGCTCACATTTGAGGGGAGGGACAGCTGCGCAAGGGGGCATTATAAGTTCCCGGGAACTCCTCCTCTGCCCTGTGTAGCTTTTGGGCCAGACTGCTCTCCCTCTCCTGCTGGTCCGGAGGGAATTTATATTAGCAGGAGAATAATGAAAACTCAGTATTTTAGTCCCCTTGGCAGAGGTCAAATTGGGAAGAAGCAGAGAACTGCTGAGTACCATTACCTGGTGAGGAAGGAGATAGAAGGAAAAGGACCCTAAGGGAGGGAAAGGATAGACTACTCTGCCTGTCACTCTTTTTAAAAAATATATAAGAAACAGGAAAAGAGGGGGGTGGTCTCCAAGCATTCTGTGCCCTTACGGTGTGGTTCGGGCAGAGCATGTAGAATGGAACCACAGTGTCTGGGTGATGCTTTCTGTCCTGGGTCATGTGGAATGAGTTGCTTAATAAGTGCTTTTTGATGATGATGATGAGACAGATGGCAGTGGGAAGACAATATTAAGAGAAAAGAGAAAAGAATCTGTCTTTACCTGGTTGAGATAAAAGAAATACACAAACACTCTGTACTTACTAAGAAAATGTTTTGGGCACAATAAGGAGTAACTGGCGAGAAGGGAGCCATGCAACAGTGCTTTTTGACACCAGGATCTTTTTTGTTAAAGTATCTCTCCTTGTTCTAACTGGCCACTAAAACGTTTTGTTGTTTCTTTGGTCACTGGATTTTATTTCACTCTGATGGCAAAATGGTCAATAAAAGTCTCCAAGCCTCTTGCTCTTGCTCTCCCCCCTCACCTTGAGTAGAAAGGATTCTGAATCAACGAATGTGATAACGGGTTTTATATCCAGATATGCCAACCATGTATTTAAATGCAAGGGAAATTGTGGACATTTTATTTTTTTTACAAGGACATAAATGTTATGTTAGTTTGAAGGTTTAAAATAAGAAAATAACACCTGGTTGGCTTGTATGCCTAGAATTCAGGGGAGAAATCATAGTTGCTGGATTTGAGAGTGGGCTGGAGGTTGGAAGGATGCAGGAGACTTGTTACTCAGGTTTTGAGCAATGCTGCTCTCATTTCCAAGTAGGGCTTCACACTTCACCCCTCTGTGGGAAAGGCTCTGAGGAATCGTGATGGTGAACCCAAGATGAAGGTCAGTGACACCTGCTGCAGGCAGAGAGGCAGAGTGAGGTAACTGCCTCGAAGCCAAGGGGCAAATTCCATATCACTTAGCAAACTTGTTCTTTCTGCTACCTTAGTGTTCAAGGTGCAGGAAGTCCAAAGGCAGCTGGGTAGATACCTGATTATTCTCTAGACTGGATATCCAGACATTGGGAGAGAAGTAAGTCCAGGAAAGAAGGAAGGGACGAGAAACAGAAAATTATTGGAGGGACAATAAAGGATCTCCTTTGGATCACTGGCCTCTGTAAGAAGGTGGCAGAGCCTAAAGAAATCCCCCGCAAGAATTGCTACTTCACTTTATCTCCCTCGTGCTTTGTAGAATTACTCCCGGGGCTGTCTAATTGCAGGAGCATATCCCCTATTTGAAAGTTTGCATCCACCTACAATGTTAACTTTTATCTTGTATTTATTTGTAGCTGCCTCCAATTTGTGCTTATATCCTCTGTTCCTTCTCACGAGCTGAGCAAATGTGTTAAGCATGGATGAGAGGTCTTCTAGGGATAGCTCATGAGTGCTGTGCTTGACTGAGTCAGTGGTGGCTCATTAAGAAGCTGCTTCTGGCTTGAGTCAACACTTCGCTGCTGCTGCCATCTGGCTGAAAGGTGTCTCCTGGGCTCAGCAACCACCTGGGTCTCAGTACTCCACAGCTCTAGGGATGTCCACTGGATTACTTCCCAGGAGCCAGTAGGATAAAGTTTGGAGCATGCTCTTAGAGAGTATGGGTTCAAGGGTTCCATTTCTGGGTCATTGGTAAGCTGTTAAAATCTTCCTCAGAGTTAATTTTTTCAATATTTTAACTATATTATTAATGCCCATAAAGTGTTGGAGGTTTTCTTTTAATGCCAAGGTGCTCAACTTCAATAATGTGTTGTTATTAGTCATAATAAAAGGTGATCTTTTAATATGCTGACCACACTATCCTAGAGTTTAAAGGGGATGTAATTTCTAAATTGGCATCTGAGTTTTTGGTGATGAGCAACGTATTATTTACCTAAGCTTTTTTCTTTCCCAAGCATGTTCCTTTATGGGTGTTAGTTAAGGACTGCTAAGTTGAGATCTAAGTGCTTGAGAATTTACGAAGTGCTTGCATCCAGGAGTGAGATGCTGCTGTGCAAATGAAGAACACTTACTTTTCTCATTAGCATAGTAGTAGAAGAGGCCTCTGCTGACAACACACCATCGCTTCTGCCACTCTGAACCAAAGAAACTGTGATCTAAACGGGACAGCAGTAAGGGACATAAATTCAGGTAACTACAATCACTGAAGAGTCTGCAAAATCCAACAACACACAGTCCAGTGTATTATTGTTTTATTTCCCAGGTTAATGGACTGTAAAACCCTCCCTTTCACTCCCACAGGTTATCCCATATTGACTCAGAGTCCAGAGGGCTCACTCAGTTAAAGGTCCAAGTTCAAAACAGGTTTTGCCTGCTCTGACCCCTCACAGCTCTCTCTCTATTTTCCCTTTATGTCTTTCAGATTCTAATCTCATCCTGTACTTTTAAAATTCTCCATGAGATCTTTATGTGTTGCCTTTTAGCAAACCAAAATGATGCTCCAGGCCTGGGCATAAGAAAGGCTTTCTTTGTGCTAAAGTCAATTTGCCCAAGTATTACACCTGGTATTCCAACCCAAGTAGTACCTTTTCTAATCAAATGCATGAAAGCTGAAGATTTGGGCTTGTCTGAACCTTGGAAGTGGGCTGCTTCACATATGATATAAAAACTACACTCTTGGCAACCTAGTTTCAGTCTTTATGGGAGCACACTGAGAGATGAGAACAAAATATAGTCATTCATTCATTTATTCAACATGTATTTGTTGAAGCATCTGCTGTGTACCAGGTGAGTGGAACCAATCCCTATGCTGGTGAAGAGAAGATTTTGGACCATCTCTCGTCAGCCTACCCATGAACACCAGACTTCTTTCCTTTTCTTGCCTTCCTTTTGCCTTGCACCTGCCTGGTACAGTATTGGGCACAAGAAGGCACCCGCCCATGCTAGCTCTTTTTCTCCTCGTTTCCCTTCTTTTCTTGGAATGTTCTGAGATCTGGGGGTCTAATCAGTACCTTTGCTTTTCTTCTCTAAGTATCCTTGCTTGATGATATTATCAAGCTCTTGAGCTCCTCTTGTGATGTCTTCCATTCCTGAAAGGAACAAAAGCAAAATGTTTTGTTGAACTCTGACAGAATTTTCATTTATTTGGGCCACTTAAGATAATCCAGATTAATGAAGGGGGTTAAGAAGGGCTATTGCTTAAATACGGCGCAAAATAAAACAATTTCTAGATGACTTGGGTTGGGGAGTAAATTTTCTTTCTTCCTAATTGTATCTAATGTTAAAATTGCTTAAAATGATCTAAACATACATTAGTTTGTGCAAGGGGAGGTAGCCTAAATATGTATGGACTGACAAGTAAAGGACTCCAGAGAGTTAAGAATTTGCTTAAATAAACCCACACTCACCTTTCCCTAACAAGCAGAAAGCTACCTTAGTGAACATGATTTTCACCAAGTTCACACAAAGAAGGGCTATGCAAAGCTGAACTTGGCCATAACTGCCAAATCCTGGTTTTGTCAAAATAAAGGAAAGAGTCTAGGAATGGTAGAAGCCCTTTACACAGAGAAGACCTGGAGCTGACATCAGCCTTTAATCGTACGCCGCTAACATTTGTGGCTTTCAATTAGCCTGGCTAGGTGCAAATTTATTGAGAAGTCAAGATTCCAATCTATCTTCCACCACTGGGGTTTAGACTCATTTTACAGAAGGGAGGGGCAGAGGATAAAGAGGAAGAAATTTATTCCTTAAAAAAATAAAATGAAACAAGAACAACAACAAAACAAAAACAATGAAAAATGCAACTCTATATTTCTTAATTAGGAAAAATGAAGAGAGTGAGCTAGCATAATCCTAATATTTATTCTTTTTAGTCCCCAAACTCAAATCTCTTTTGGTTTGTCTTAAAAAAATTAAGAAAGCAAACAAAATATAAACCAAATTAAGGTACAACACATATGAAATGACTGGAGCATCTTTCCAATATCTGGAAACTCTTGAGTGGAATAAGTTTTTTTCAATCACACATTCGTTTTCTGAACAGCTACAACAACTAACATTTATTCAGTGGTGGCTATGAATGGGCACTTTGCTCAGTGCTTTACATACTTCTTGTTTAAAAATAACATTTTAAGACAACTTAAAATGCAACGAAAATTACCTTTTGCTTCTAAGCTGTTTCAAGTTTAGTTTTAAAAATGTAGATCGGGGAGCTTCTCTTTTTCTTTTTTAGCGTGTCTAAGTGCCTGATTCTTTATCCTATCCATCCTTACTGTCAACTTCCTTGTTCATGGACTGTTTTCATTTGTGTGTTTTACAGTTAGCAAACTCTGTGACTGCTATAAATCCTCCCAGATGGGTCTCAGGGTGCACACATGAGATGAACAGCAGCAAAGGAAAGTTCATTTGGCTAGAATTCTTTCATTTCTTCCACCTCTCTGAAAATTCTAATATCGCTTTGAAAATGCTCCCCAAGAAAACAGAAGCAGATCCTACTGAGGGTGAGGACCTGGTATGGTTTAGAAGGCCCTTTGAAGGAGAGCCCATCCTCTCTGCAGCGCTGTCAAAAAATTGCTCCTAGAGGCCCAATAATTAAATGAAAGACACAGGAAATAAGAAAATCAGGATCCCCTAAACCCTAAATCCATCTTTCTTCCTAGGTTTTTTTCTTTTTTTAAGGTCTTGTTAAACTTAGAGACACAGCTTCTTGTTAAAGATGCCGAGAGTCTGAATCATAAAAGACATGTTAAACGTTCTATTAGAATTCAAAGCTCCTTTTTTAATGCAAATCTAAATGCCATTTTATGGAACATCTATAATTATGAAAATGGGAAGACATTGCCTTGTGTGTGGGGAGAGTCTGTGAGTATGAATATTACATTAATGTGCCCACACCAGCTCACTGATCCTGCTGGCAGGAGCATAAAAAATGCTTGAGTGAAACTTTTATTTAGATGTTAAGACTCTAGGCCCCAGCGGGGTGACAGAGACAGTCCCTGTGAGTTGCCATCAGAGAAAGAGCTTGAATTGAATTACCCAGGGGGGAAGGAAGTAGTGATGAGCACTGCTTCGCTTATTTAATTTCATTTACTTTCAGTACATTATCAGCATGAGGCTTTTTTCTCCCCACCAGCTGAAACCCAAGAATGCCACCACCAAGAAAACAAAGACATAATGCAGCAGAGATGTTTGAATTCCAAGTCACTAATTTTAGGAGACTAGGGACAGCACCATTACCACCTTCTCACCCCAAAAGTCACACTTGGTTTGCTAAAATTGGGCACTGAATGAGCCCAATTTTGCTGAATTTCTTCTCTTGGTCATTTACCAACAAGATTCTTAAGAGTAAGAGA